GGCGCCGAGCCTGCAGCCAGGTTCCTAACAGGCCACAGACCCATACCTGCCTGCAGCCTGGGGGTTAATGCAGCTCTAATCAGTCACAAAAAAGAGGGAAGCCCTTAACTCGATTTAGCACATCCAGGGTGTCCAGGGTGGAGCTTTTAGTCTACCTCTTCCACAACACCCTTCCCGTGAATCTGTCATTTAGCCAACTCTAAACAGCACCACTTTTCATCAGACTGAAGGGCTACTACAAGGAGGCCAGGAGGAATATGTTTGGCTACAGGTTTGCTAAAGTCAGAACAAAGGGGCAGTAACACACAGGTTATCAATTCTCTCAGGTATTAAAAAGAAACAAAAGTGGCTCGTAGCTCAATGGTTAGGGTGCTGGCCACATGCCCCAGGGCTAGTGGGTTGGAACCTGGCTCCGGCTAAACAAAACAACGACAACTACAACAAAAAAAATAGCCGGGCGTTGTGGTGGGTGCCTTTAGTCCCAGCTACTTGGGAGGCTGAGGCAAGAGAATTGCTTAAAGCCCAAGAGTTGGAGGTTGCTGTGAGCTGTGACGCCACAGCACTCTACTGAGGGCACACTCTACTCTGTCTGTGAGCAATTGATTTATTATGGTCTCAGTGCAGTCAGAGACTCTGCCTCAAATTAAAATTAAAAAATAGAAAAATTAGCTGGGTGTCGTGGTGGGCACTTGTAGTCATAGCTACTCAGGAGGCTGAGGCAAGAGAATCACTTGAGCCCAAGAGTTTGAGTTTGCCGTGAGCTGTGATGCCACAGCACTCTACCCAGGGTGACAACTTGAGACTCTCCCTCAAAAAAAAAAAAAAAGGTATGGGTTTGCAGCCACTAGCATTAAGAAGATGATCACTCTGTCCTTGAGCAATGAGAAACTTCATAAATAAACAGATATAAAGGGTATATACTACAATTATTCTCACCAACAGGAGCAGTTGGTCAAAAAGTATCCAACTGATGTAGGATACTTTCATAAAGAAGTTTAAAAGCTATCTCTTTATATATTATCTCACTCCACTTCTATCCTATGAGACAATTTTACAGATGATGAAACAAAGGTTCAGTACTTTGTCCAAGGTTATAAGCTAAGGAAGGACACCAGTGACAGACATAGAATGCACATGCAGGCTTTTTTCCTGGCTTCATAATTTATGCTTATTCTACTTAGCAAAAGCACATTAACTATTAGAAATTCTAACTTACCCTAACCCTAACCCTCCATCTTCTAAGCTAGTGGTCCCCAACCTTTTTGGCACCAGAGACTGGTTTCATAGTACAATTTTTCCATAGTTGTGGGGAGGGGTTTTGATATTGAGACTGTGAGCAATTGATTTACTGTTTTTTCTTTAATATTTTTTTCTTTGAGACAGAGTCTCACTATGTCACCCTCAGTAGAGTGCCGTGGCATCACAGCTCACAGCAACCTCCAACTCTTGGGCTTAAGTTATTCTCTTGCCTCAGCCTCCTGAGTAGCTGGGACTACAGGTGCCTGCCACAAGGCCAGGCTATTTTGGGTTGCAGTTGTCATTGTTATTTAGCAGGCCCAGGCCGGGCTCAAACCTGCCAGACTCAGTGTATGTGGCTGGCACCCTACTCACTGAGCTATGAGTGCTGAGCTGTGAGCAATTGATTTATTATGGTCTCTGTGCAGTCAGACATCTTAGCTAATGATAATCGGTGTTGGTAGCTGCTCCCCGGTGCTGACATCAACACATCAGCTCCACCTTAGATCATCAAGACCATCAGGCATTAGGTTCTCACAAGCAGTGCACAACCTAGATCCCTTACCTGTGCAGTTTACAGTGGGGTTCAGGCTCCTGTAAGAATCCACTGCTGCTGCTCTGACAGGAGGCAGAGCCAGGCAGTGATGCAAGCAATGGG